CATGCAGCACAGATTGGCATTTCCCAGGACAAGCTGAAGCTTGGCACATTCTTCCTCCAACCCTCCTTTCCACCCCCAGAAAACCTTCATCAAGAAAGAAGTTTGAGGCAACCCTGGCCTTGGCACATGTAAGTTGCTTCTCTGAGTTGCTGACAGTGAGGAATTATTGACTGGGTGTTTGCTAATGTGTTCAGTGACCTTCCCATACCAAAAAAACGCAAGAATAAAGTGGAGTCCAGAAGGACTGCACAATGCACAGACTGGAGAATAATTCTACGTAGCAAAGGTTGAGACCTCACCACTGGGGATGCTGTGTCTTCCCCAGTGGCTGGATGCACAGAGAAAGGGCACATAACTTTGTCTAGGAACTCCCCCCTCCTTCTGTATAAACAAAGAAGGGAGCTTGTCGGTGGAGAGCTTCTTCACTCTTGGTTTGGAAATTATGAATAAGGATATGGGACAAGTTTCCACAACAACTGATGGAAACCACAGGAGAAAAAAGTGCTGCTGTGCTTGAATCCCGCTTGCAGGTTTCCCACAGGCATCTGGCTGGCTGCTGCCAGAACAGGATGCTGGACTAGACAAGTCATTGATCCAGTAGGCTCTTCTTATGTTCACATCTCAGCCTAAGTTACTTCTTACAACTGTGAGAATAAGCAGTATGTCTTGCCGACTTTGGAATCAGTCAATGAAATGGATGATGTAGTCAAAGGAAAATGACTTCTTCATACAAGTCATAATTCATTTTGCATTTCAGCCAGGGATGCCAAGATTCGTTCTTTTAGATGATGCTTGAACCTCCCCATGACAAACATAATGCAAGTCCCAGAAAGGTGGGAATAGTTTGCCAAAAACATAATGGTGGGCCAACTTCCAAGGCCCAGAAGCCCCAATTAAGCCTGTGGGCCAGCTTCTGGTACTGGCTCCAGAGAGCTCACTGGGCTGCTCAGATGGCAAGATGGGAGGTAAGTTTCAGGAATGGGGAAAATGTAAATGACATCCTTCCCCATCTTCCCTAACATCATCACCATCATCATTTTATTATTTGTACTCTGCCCATCTTGGGCGGCTGTTGGGCGGCTTCCAACAGAATACTAAAAACAGAATAAAACTACAAACATTAAAAACTTCCCTAAACAGGGCTGCCTTCAGATGTCTTCTGAAAGTCAGATAGTTGTTTATTTCCTTGACATTTGATGGGAGGGCGTCCCACAGGGCAGGCACCACTACTGAGAAGGCCCTCTGTCTGGTTCCCATGTCGCCTGTTGCAGGGTTTCCAGACCCAAACCTGAGGTTTTTTTTATAGCTAATTCTGGAGATGGGAAGAATACCCCAAACTTTAATCCCTCCCTAGAACATATTTACAATAAGCTGACAATGAACTTAGTAGGTCTATTCTCACTCTTTGTCTGCCTTCCATTTATTGGCCACTATGCATTGAATTCAGATGTCCCAAAGAGAACTATTCAAACTTCCCTGATATTTCCAGGTTTCTGTCTGGCTCTTTATTGCTTTTTACAAATTCCTGCAGAACCTTTTGACAAGCTGATGACCCCAGTTTCATTTGCCCAGTTTTGTCTCTGTTTTTCCTGCCTCATGGATATGGAGGATATAAAGAGGGGAGGTCAAAAGAACAAGAGCACCTCAGTGGGCTTTTTGGATATTTGATCCTGCAACATGTTTTCACTGATATTAAGGGAGTTGAAATTTATGGGTTGGGCAGTGTAAGGATTGGAGATGTCATAACTGTATATGGATTTTAACTCCTTAATCTTGAGAGCAGGGGAATTCACAGGTGTGTAGTTCAGTTTACTGATATGGTGATACCCAGTCTGAAAGCAAACATCCATGGAAAAGCAGTTTCCTGGGGTTGCATCAGTTTGCCACAAAAGTATGTTCATAGCTGTACAAAAGAAAGTCAATCTGTTCTAGCATGCTTCCAGTCAACCTGTGGTTAACTAGGAGAACATTAGTAATGGTGAGCATTTGGTGGGGTGGAGCTACTTCATGATTGGCATCAAAAGCCCTTCTTTAAGTAACTCTGAGAGGTGAAATCAAGTGCATTCCATCATGGAGACCCCTTTTCCAGTGGTACAGTCAGGATCCCTCTCTGGTCTGGCTGTACCAATAGGGTGGAGTGGTGCTGTGTGTATGTTTTTCCTCCTCCTGCAACTAACAGTTTTTTGTGCTATATTTTAGATGACTGCTTTTTAATTTATTGATGGTTGATTTTTTTCGTTTGTTTGTTTTAATGGATGCATTTGTGATGTATACCAATTCGATAAATACTCAAGCTGCTTTGAATGCTCTCTGGCAGAAGGGGAGGGTGTACATTGATTCATGCTGCAATGCTGGGAACTTAATGTGTTTTATTTCTGAATTGAAGCTCTGATTCCTGCATTACAGGTTGGAGTAGATGGCTAGATGAGGCCGAAGTGTTATGATTCTGTTTATAGGACTATACTGTTTCATCACCAATTTAAGATGCTTACTCAGAACCTAAGAAGCTGCATTATACTGTGTCAGACCCATGGGTCTGGGTAGCCAAATATTATCTATCCTGTCTGGTAATGTCTCTCCATGTTTTCAGAATGAGGTATCTCCAAGGCCTACATGCAGATGTTATGGACTAGACCTGGGATCTTCTGCACGCAGAGTAGATGCTCTTCCAAAGTAAGTCCCATTGAATTTGATGAGGCATACTTGTTACTGTGTTTACAATAGTCAATTATGTACAAAGTTGACCATCTCATCTGTTTCTGAGAAGCCTAATCCAAATCCCAGAGAATCAACAGCAGACCCGTAAACCACAGCATTCCTATGATAGAACTCCCCCCCCCCCCAAATGGAGAAATCCCATGGATATATTCCATACACTGTGGTGGTCAGCATAGTTCAGTTGGTCAGGAAAGCCCTTTAGGGACAGAACAGATTTCTTTGTTTTCTTGTGAGTCACAAAGCTTAAGCCTCCCACAAAGAACAGCTTTTAGAAGGGATTATTGTTTCTTACTTCAACCACAGATGTTTCTAAAAAGAGGAATGACATGGGAAGAAATAGATTGGGCAATAGAGAAATGGGCACCCTTGTCTGTCCTGACTGGCAGTGTATCTCCAAGGTTTAAGAGAGAGGTTCCTCCTAGTCTCACATTGAGATGTCATGGAATGAACCTGGGACCTTGTGTCTGCAGAACATATCTGCCACAGTACATGTGTCTGTTGGATCATAGAAGGAAGTGGGTGACCCATTGTCCTCCAAATATTACTGGACTATGACTCCAGTAACAGAACATTAAACATCAACCCCTGCCTTATTGGAACCTGCAATTGCAAGGTGGCTTCTAAGCTCCCCTGAGATTTTTTCCACTTAATGTAGGAAAGTTGGGGTGGAGTGGGCATACTTGGCACTTATAGAGCTGCTGGCAGTGGAGCTATCACATATAACCCCATATCTAAAAAGCGCTTTATACCCACACATTCTTTTGAATGCATAGAAAGTTCTTATGTTGACCAAAATGCTACAATGGTGTTTCATGGAGGGGCGTTGGCTTTTGGCATGGATCTTAGAGCTCTGTGTGCACTTTCCAGGTTGTTTCAGGTTTGGGATTGTGGCTTTTAGCCAGCGTACAATGAGATCTGCTGGGGTTTTGTCCTCTGTTCTCCCAGGGATATTGCAGAAGCGAGTGCTGCAGTGTCTGTTGTGATCTTCTAGATCTTCTAGTTTAATTCTCGCTTCCATGCTTTCTCTTTCTTGGTGGTTGTCCGTATCAGCTAATTTGTTTTTCAGACATGTGTTTTCCTCTTGGAGTTGCTCTATTGGTTTTAGTTACATCTGGTTTTCCTTTTCTAGAGTGGAGATGGTGCCAGTGAGGGTTTCCACTTTGGAGGTCAGGTTGCTGATTATTTTCTTCAGGGGAGTCACTGTGTTCTTCAATAGGTCTGCTATTCTCAGTTCCATTTCTCTCAGGTCCCTTTTCGTTGTAGCGCAGTTGTCATCATGGGGGGATGTTGCGATCTCTTTTGTTATTCAACACCTCCTTAGTTGATGCCGTCTCGATTGTCTTGGTGGCCTAGCCTGTAATCTGTTGAAGTGGGGGGATGTTGTGGTTCGGTGATTCAGGTTATAGCATGAGATAAAAGACAAGAATATACATATACTGTTAAAAATGGGTGGGGGTGTATGCATATAGATATATGGTTTTTGTTTGTTTGTTTAATCAGATGGGGAGAAGGAGAAGAAGAGTGTAGTACTGGGTGAATAAAACAAAAAGGAAAAAGAAAGCTAGGGGGAGGGTAGGAGGGTGGAAAAGTAGGGACTTGAGAAAGTTTTTTTAAAAAAAAAGTTTAAAAATTTTAAAAAATGTTGAGGTGTTGAAATCTAAAAATTTAAAAGGTGGGGATAAAATGTAGTGATAGAAGGCAGGTTTTTTGTTTTGTTTTTTGAATTTTTTTAAAAAGGGGGTAAGAAAAGAAGGAGGAGGAAGAAGAGGAGGAGGAAGAGGAGAAGTAGTACTGATAGAAAATGGGTAAAAATGAATTAAAATGTAGAGTGATTGTATTAATGAAAAAGGGGGTTTCTGCATATAATTAAAAAATGTATTATTTTGACTCACAAGCAGTTTCAATTTCACAGTGGAGTCCACAGAGCCTGGATGCCAGGTTCCTGGGTTAGGACTAAGGCGGCAGTGCCAAGGAACAGCCTTCAGTGGTTCAGGCTTCCTACATGGGAGCTGCCATTACAGTTCTTCCCCCACCCCACCCCCAAAAAAATTAAGAAGAAAGGAAAAGAAGAAGAAGAAAATTCCACTCCCTTGAAAAAAATATGGACCCCCCCCCCCACTGGCAGGGGAGGGCCTGTGTTGCTGCGTTTGTTTGTTTGTTCTCCTGGGTGGTCTCCAGCTCGCATTCCTCGTTGGGCCCCCAGCCTGTCCCTTTCGCAATAACCGCCAGGGAGGTGGGCTCAGGGTCAGGGTCATGGTGTCCCTGGCTCCCCTGGTACCCTTTTACCTCTCTCTCTCAGTGGTGGCAGTGGTTGTGGCAGCAGCAGCAGTAAGCTGGTGCTCAGCTGTGGGGGAGGGCTCCTTTTTGCTCTTTGTTTTCTGTTTGGCTCTGGAGGCCTCTGGGCCTTGGAGTTCCGCTGGGCTTTTGGTTGGGTCCCAGTCCCAGCTGGGTTGAGGCCACTGGGGGAGGGGGTCTGGGGGCTCTGCACAGCCTCCTTGGTTGTTACGTTGGGCACCCGTCTCCCCCCAGTCACAGCAGCATTGGCAGCAGTGTTGGTGGCGTGGGGACCAGCCAGGCAGCATAGCTGGTCATCACATGTTAGGGCAGAGTCTTCATGTGTAAATGGGTTTGGGATGAGGCATTCTCTCTCAAACACCCACTTTAAAATGACTCTATATGTCCTGTGCATTTCGCTGCATCCAGTGCTGAAATCCCAACATGCAAAGGTCAGCTCTTCACCACATTTTGAACCTGCTGTCAGCACATCTAAGTGATCAGGGATCACCTTGTTGGGTGGGGGGTCCTGAAACCAGGTAGCATTTGAGCTCTTGGCAGGCATGCCCCATAAATTATAGTTGCTTTGTCAGACACAGCTCCTGATGGCAGAGGTGTCTGTGATTTCTTTCTTTTCTAAATAAAACTGTCTAGAAACCTAAGGTGGTTATGTCAAGGCAAGGGGCTGGTGGAAGGAAACCTGGCTGAAAGCAATTGTTTCCAACCAACCGTATCCATGTCTTTGATTTATGGGCAGCAGGAGCCATTATGTCCCTTACCCTTGTCTTTTTTTGATTGCAACATTCTGGGGTTTTATGTGCTAAATTAGAACAAGGATGAATGGCACCAACATCCTATGGGGATTTTCTAATTTCATTTTTTAGCATTTTTCATTTCAGTGCCCTGTCTTTCTATCCAAGTAGAAGTCTGTTTTGCACAACAGATGTCTGTCGATTTGGCCGAGATCTCGACATCTCACATTCAACCTAATTATTCTTAGTATCTTTTATTATTTTTACTAAATGTCACCAAGATATTTGGGAAGCTTCCCTCTCTGACCAGAATCTTCCAATCCTTTCGAATATGCTGCTCATTAAGAAAAGGGGGCATAGCCCATATCCTGAACAAGTTCCAGTGAATTTTTTGCAACAAAAATATATCCAGAGTATTTTTTGAAAAATAACCTTTTGATGGAAAATTATATTTTACTGAACTGCATATCTAAATATGTGTATATTTTTTCTTTAAAAAAAATCATGGTGTGGAAACAGAATGTACATGTGTGAACACCAAAGGATAGGAATACTTGGTCTGTCTATTTTTAATGTAATTATATCTTATATGGGATTATTGATTGGCTGAAATCACTCAAAGAAACATGAAGATGGTAGGAGTATTGGTGGCCACTGAAGCAGCCACTTTTCCATCACATGACCTAACTTACAATAATTCAATAGTATACACTTGCATTTAAAGCCCTAGTTGACATGGGACTCCAACCTGCATGTTTCTTAAGGTCTACTGAACTGAAGCCCTCCTCCAATTGCTTTTTCTGTTGTAAGTGGTTTAGTCAGCCACAACAGAGAGGTGCTTTAAAGTGTAGACACTCTGGCTATTGAGTATACAGTATTATATTGGGGGACTCCAAATTAAGAAAACACCGCTCAGCACTACCCGTGTATAAGATGAGCCCCAATTTTAAACCTATTTTTTTGGTTAAAAAAAAACCCTAGTCTTATACACAGAAAAATATGGTATATGACATTTAGAAGTACCTGTTATCACTATAGTTTTAATTTCTGACGTTCCCTCCTTATTATTGAAAAATTGTTATCATTGTATAAATTAGCTAATAGACATAGAGGTATAGTGCTCCACGCTACCCTGGGAATCCGAACTGGTTGTGGGTGCAGTTTAAAGATGCTTGAAATGGAAATGAGTTCTCTTGACATTGGTAGGACTTCTGCCAATGTGGTAGTTAAGAAGGTGCCCTCCAGATGTATATTAGACTACAAAAGCTATCATCTTTCACTGCTGTCCATGCTGCCTGGGACTGAGGGGAGATGTAGTGCAGGACTGGGGAACCTTATTCAGCCTGCTGGCCACCTTCCCTCCTGGACAACCTTCTTGAGGTCACATGTTGTTAGTGGGCAAGGTCTGAGGCAAAAAGTAGGTGGATCATTTATTTATTTATTAGATTTATACTCCATATTTTCCTCCAAAGCAGCCCAGGGGAACAATGTACACACATAGCCTTTGAAAGGCACAGAGGTAGGTAGTTTTTTTCACAGTGCATGTTTGTAAATACAGTGGTACCTCTGGATGCAAACGGGATCCATTCTGGAGCCCCGTTCTCATCCTGAGTAGAGCGTAACCTGTGTCTGCATGTGCATGGGTCGCAATTCAGCGCTTCCGCACATGCGCGTGACGTCATTTTGAGGGTCTGCGCATGTGCGAGCGGTGAAACCCGGAGGTAACCCGCTATGTTACTTCCAGGTCACCGCAGAGCGCAACCCAAAAATACTTAACCTGAAGCTACTTCAACCCGAGGTATGACTGTAGCAGTTTGTAGTTGTATACACCTTTGCATGATAATGTAATCTAAAGTGGCAGCTAATATCTGTGTTGTCCATGCACATGGGTTGGCTTGTTTGGCAGCTAAGAAGATCAGGAGAAAAGAACTAGATAAAATAGCGGTCAATTGCAAAGCAGACTCGGACATTTAAGCTGGCACATCCCACCTAAGAACCCCCTGCTATTCTATCATATGCAACAAATAATTTCTAGGAGATGCGACCGTGGTTTATTGTATTTGCAGTGCCTTGTTTTTATGTTTTTTATGGTTATTGTTGCTTTTCTTTTTGTTCCGTTTGTGAATGATTCCATGGCCTTTGGCTAGTGCAATAATGTTGATGATGATGATGACTAGGTTGGCTTGTTTATCAGTATACAGAGGCACCTAAGTTACTGCACTGCCCCCTATTTCCCCTTTTCATTTAAACATGGTGAGGGGGAGTGGCAAAGCCCTGCAATATCAGTAGATCTGCCCCAATAGAAAGTGAGCTGAGTAAGTGCTCTCTGTGTCCGAGGGCCTCATAGAAAAGCCTAGAAGGCTGCATTTGGCCCCAGGCCTGAGGTTTGTTGTAATATACAGTTAATAACTAAGACTTGTGTGCATGAAAGTGTTAACCTGAGCTCAGGTTACCAGTGGGATGGGAGCTATTTTTAATGAAATCCGCCAAAATCTACACTTCCGACATGGGCTGCCATGCATCCAGATTTTCCCAGACATGCAGCGATTTTCTGCCTGCTTGCTGATTATGAGTGGGGAATACCTGCTATGTCCAGGAAATTCCAGATGTATGGCAACCCTAACTTAGCAGGCTCCCTGCAGCCTTTTGTCCCCCGTCCCACCCGCTCCCAGTCTTTTTCTCTTCCCGCTCCCTGGAACAAATGGAAAAGGAGCCATGCAGCTTTGGCTCCCACTTCAGCGAACCCTGCAAGTGAACTAAATCTCTCTAAAGGGAATTTTTGCTAACCCAAAGATTGCATGATTCTTTTTGTAAGGAAACCAAGGTCTCTCTCTCTCTCTCTCTCTCTCTCTCTCTCTCTCTCTCTCTCACACACACACACACACACACAGAAAGTCATTTGGAACCTTTTCACAACTTTGTTTCACTTCCTGCAGATGGAGACTTCTTTGTTTTGACTTCTGGAAACTCTATGAGATAAACATTCTCTTATTTGCAAAGCTAAGTGTATGTGATTTATTCTAGCCTAAGTATTTTTGTGGAGAACATTTGTTTAAAGGTGGCTGAGGGTAGAGTCAAAATCTAACCAAATTTGCATGTGCTTAGAGAAATTGCCATTCTGTGAGAGTATGAGATCTCTCTTCCAAACCTTTTTCTCCAACAAGGTTCCATGGGTGTAGCCAAGGGAGCAGCTGCCCCCCTAAATCAATACAAATCTGAGGTTCTGCACCCCCTAACAAAAAGCCTGGCTACGTCCATACAAGGTTCCACCTTCTCTGGGCTAATGTTTTATGAACGACACAAAGGCCAGCCAGGAAAAGGCACTTAAATAAGGCATAGAGCAGGACATGTGAGAGGTGTGGTGTGAGAAGAGGGATGGCCTGGGGAGACTCACAAGAGCCAGATGGAGAGATTTAGAGGGCCACATTTGGCTCCAAGACCTGGATGTCACCACACCACTTGTGGTTAAACAGCATCTGGAGGGGAGCACATTAGCTAGCCCAGCAGCTTAGGAGATTCACCTGTCTTCTTTGACTTTGGAACCTTTTCTGTATTTGGTCTGCTGCCTTAAGGCACAGCTCTCTTGCAATTTTGCAAACAGAGGGAAAGGTCTCCAATCACCCAAAGAAAGTCCTGTCTGTAAACAGGAAGCATCCAGTGACTGTATTTCTTTCCCCCCTCCCTGATGCCTTGGCAAAGCCTTCATTAGATGATCTCATCCCCGGCCAATTTCCTTTGCACATTGAAATAAAGACTGAACATGCTAATTAATCGTGAAAGGCCTTCCGCAAAGCCTAGTCTACCAGGAGGACATGAAAGCTGATGTTTGCCTTGCCTCAAAGAAGGGTGACACAGCTGAAAGTGGCTTTAGTTCTCTCCCTGGCAAACTTACAATGTTAAGAACCTTGGAAGCTCTGATCCCACCTCATTAAAGCCCCTTTGCCCTCTCCATAACCCATTATAAACTGAGGAAATGGTGAAAACAATCACCGATGCACTAATCCTCAGTTAGCATTTTCCCCTCTCAAGGTTTGCAGCACCTTTCCCATTGTTTGTTAAGAGTGGTTTTGCATTACAGCATCTCTCTTTCATTAGACGTCTTCATCTCTATACATAATTTCAGAGTTCTTCTTATAGGCCCCATCACCTCCTCCACTGGTGACAAATATGTCTGATAATCCTCGCTCCCTTCTCCTGCACCTGCACCTGCCCCCCAGCAGATCTACTCTGGTATATCAGCTTTTGGACAAGGGAGGGATTTGTGTAGAAGAGTCCAAATGGCCCATCCAGGTGTGCCTGACTGCATTTCCAGACACTGAAATATAAACAGACTTATCAGCTCCATGGAAACAGCTGACATAACAGTTGGCTCAGTTCCTGGTGGATTGAATATTATTGCCTCCTTGGATACCAGGGAAATAACAAGCCCAGTTCAGTGGGGTGACAGTGGAGCATTTGCACCACGACAATCCTGCTGTACATAAAATTATGGAAAGATTCTGAGTTCTCTAGTTTCTCCACAAGTTTATACTTCTTAGAGAGGGAGCAAGATCCTT